CCTGCTCCCGCTCCTCCTGCTCCTCCTGCTGCTGCTGCTGCTCCGCGGGGCGGCGGCGCCGCGCTGGAGGGGCAGGAGCGCTACGGGAAAAAGTAGAAATAAAAACGTGTTAAAAAGTGTTTCCAAATATACATTTTTAATAGATCTCAGGTTAGTTTTTAATCCAGAAAAGCACTTCCTCACTCCTTCCCCAAGGCGTCTATTTTCCAAGCTTGGATCTTACCAACGCTTTTGTCTATTTTGGGGGGTTTTGTTTGTTTTTGTTTCTTGTTTCTTTTATTGATTTTATCCCCCCCCCCCTTTTTTTTTTTTGGCAACACTCCATACCAGCACTCAGCAGAGCTGCTCAGCATCGCCGTCTCAGTTACTGGGTCACACGAGCATCGAGGGGATTTCCACCCAAAGAGATTCGGGTCACGCATGCTGACAGCCCACGTAAGCCCAGCGTAATATGGTTTAGAAATTTCAGCTGAACTAACTAACTAAAGTAAACCAACAAAAGCCAGACAGCACAAGCAGCGTGAAATTTCCCTGCTGTCCCCTGGCGAAAGCGCAGTCCTGCCCCCTGCCCTATCCCCAGCCCTGCAACATGCCCAAGCGCCACGACCCTCTGCCAGGTGCTCACCTAAACGGGCTTCTTTGCGGTGTAGCGTGCGGATTCCCGAGTCACAGCGAGAGAAAGGCAGCAATCAGCAGCGCCAGCAGGGGCTGGGGCCTTTCCATAGCGAACGTTCCAACATCCATGGTGCAGCAGCAGCCTTGGGATGCTCGGAGGGGCACCATGTGCCCTAGCGAATTTCTTGGCCAAGGAGATGAGGCAACTGGATCAGAGCCCCACAGGCCATCAGGAGCTGACCTCGGCACAGATGCTGTTTGCTTGGTTGCTGCTTGCACAATCCTAACCGGAGAACGAACTCATTTCTTGCCTGGACACATTCTTCTAACCAAAGCATTTTGAGTACCAGATTTGGAGTCTGGAACTTGCAGGCTGTGAATGCATCCGTAATTCCCGAATGTAGGAATTCGATCTGTGAGCTGAGCAAACATTTTCCAGACACGGAGATGGAAGATGAGTCAGTGCAGTTCCAAAATCCTCCCATCACTCTCATGGCTGAATTGTTTCAGGACTCTGTCTTGCCCCTTGGACTTTCCTTCATGTTTTTTTCTTTTCTTTTTTTTTTTAACCACCGATTAACAGCCCATTAATTGCTCTCTACAGAAGGGGGAGCAGAGGCGCCCAGAAAGGAGCCAGTTCCCCAATTACTGGGGCTGAATACCTCCCGCGTTGCCTTTGTCTCGGCTCTGCGTTGGCTCATTCAACCCTGCCAGGGAGCCCGAGGTTTGCAAGGCTGTCCGTGCACACAGCTGCTATCCCAAATTATCCGTACAACCCACCCAATACTGGTGACAGCATCCTGCACAGCTCCTCCTCATCAGCGCAGAGGAGAAGTGGAGGGGGCGTGAGACCCAAGCAGCTCCCTTACTGCACCACAGGATTCCACAAAGTCCTTTTTCCTGCACAAATCACCAGCTCCATCAGGAAAGGAGCTGGCATGGATGTGATTAAAGCATCTCCAGTGGCAAAGAGAGGAAGCAATTAGAGCGACCGCTTGGATGAGATACCTAACGGGCCCTTCAAGGAGCCCGAAGGAGCTGTCTGAGTATGGCTTAAATCGTGGGCTATTCCTAAGATAATCACCGGGCCAGATTTCCCAGCATACCCACTAGCAGCAAGAGAGAAGATAAATTACATGCAGAGACCAGCCCGATTAAGCCATCTGCATCACCTTCATCTTTTCCAGCTACAAATATGAAACAAAAACATCCTCCTCAACAGTCAAGGAGTTTGAAGATATGGGTTGACTGCAAAAAGGCAGTTCACAGTGCAAAAGAGCTAGGCAGATACAGTGGACAAAGTGCCTATAGCAGGAGGAGTTTAACACTTGTATTTTGATTTTGGATTCCCAAGAGCACCATAAATACATAACTCAGTAGCATTGCCTCGCGGAGCCCATGTGAACCCAGGAACTTCTCATGTATGTAGACGGCTGTTTCCAAAAATATGCAAAACCTCAAACTCCCAGAGGCACAATTTTGGAAAGTCTGTGAAAGGGAGAGGAAAGATCCAATTGTAAAGCATTAAGAACATAAATCAAATGTCTAGTGAAGAAGGTTTCAGTATGGAGAGACATTCTTGGATTGGCTTTTAGGTGTGAGACAGGCAGCAACCCCAGCCCTGATCACAGCCACAAATTTTGCATTTAAACTGTTTCAAGGGAGCTTAGACTTTGTTGTTGTTCTTGCCTTCTTTCACTTCATTTCCCTATACCAGCGAAAAAAAGAAAGCAAATTGGCAAAGATGAAATAAACTTTTCATGCACTTTGAAAAATTCTATTAATAAATAATTCAGTTTAGAGCTGCCCTAGTCCTATATATGGGATCTTTCTTTAGTCTATGGCTGAGCCATGTTGTCCACAGCTCCAGCAACAGATCTCCACTCCGATGGCAAAAACCAGAAGGGAAGAGAGAGCAGCACAGTCCCCTCACCATACATGCTGATCAAGTCCTCAGTTATGGGCTAAAATCTCATGGGTCTGAGCTGCGGTCACACATCTGGCCATGACAACAAAGCCCTTGCTGAAACTCGCCAGGGGAAAACGTTTTCAAGCTTTGTCCAAAATTTAGATACATATTTTTAAATAGCTCAGTAGGGTATGCTTAAAAACTTTGACCTTAATGTACAGAAATAAATCATGGCAAAGCATCAAAATAACATACACCGTTTCCCATGATTGAATGCGATTTCAGCTGTTGAATATTTGTGCCATACGTTGTTGCAGCACTTACTGTACAACCGACATGGCACCAAAAATGTAACCAAAAATGCAACCTCTCCGCCTGGCCGCTTCAGTTCAAGCCTGCAGCAACACACCGTGCTAGTGCATATTTGCATACGCTCAAGTCAGCTGCAGGCAAGTTCACAAAAGTATGCAAAAGAAACTACCCATCTTGAAAGCCTCGTACCACCGAGACTGTGGGAACCTTAAACCAGGGTCTAAGTCAAACACAAGCAAACAACAACATGGAAAAAAAAATCCAACCCTCAACCCAAGATCAGAACCCCAAACCAACCCACGGAAATTTGCAATTGCTTCTTTAAACGGAGCAAAGGAGCGGTGACCAGAGATGTCCGCAGTGTTTTTCCTCTGTCTCCTGCCTCTTTTTTTTTTTGGATGCTGTTTATAAAAGCGAGTGTCATGCTTGTGGGTTTCAGCATAGCTGACATCTATGGGTATGAGTCACTGGGTCTGCCAAAGCAAACATGAGCTGAGCTGCCTCCCGAGGATGCGTTCCCAAGGCAGAGACCCTCTCCATGCACCGCAGGGACCTTGGGGTGTCCTGCTACACGGGGGGCAGATGCTCTGCAGCCCTTGCAGTGGGTTAAAAAAGGAAAAAAAAAAAAAAAAAAAAAAAAAAAAAAGAAAAACAGGGAGGTTGGGGATGTTCTTCCCCTTGGTCCGGAGCATGGCTGGCTCGGTGGGTGCAAAGCAGTTATCCTCACACTTAGCACTAAATTAAACGCCATAGCGTCGAGGTTACACTTGGTGCCCCCAGGGAACTGGGGAGCTGGGGGGAAGCTCCTCTCTGCCCACGCTGATGGGATCCCGGCTCCATCCGGAGCTGTGGTTGCACATCTTCGCTTCCCGTGGCTTTTCCTCCCTCTCTTCCTTCCACCCTCCCTCCCAGTTAGCGCAGAAGATACCACTGCCAAACATCCCATTACAAAAATATCCAGCTAAAACACACGTTATTTTGTGGGTGAAGCACTAGCTGGGTCTTATTGCCTCATCTTATTTTCTGTGAAAAATATGAGACACGGACTAATTTCCTGGCCAGAGAACAGCACACGACAGAGCAGGGACCTGCGGCGGGGCCTTACGTTGCTGCTGGGGCGAGCTGCACAGCCTGGACCTCCATCACCTCAGGAGCGACTGCACTAGAGACGTTCAAGTACACCTGATTACTTAGTGACGCAAAAGATCAAGAGAAAACCAGCCCTTTGCATTGCAGGCAGCGACCTGTCCAGCAACAGCACCTCGGCGCCATCCCAAATATCCCCCAAGCAGCCAGCGGAGTGAAGGAGGATAGAGACATTGCTAGAGCAGAGGAAACCAAGGGCTAGTATGGGCAGCCCTACCTCTTCAGATACTGCTTTCATTTGAAATGAAAATATAAAAGAAGTTTCATATGCAGATCCAAGAATTTCCAGAAACAGCTTTTTGTCCTCCGGAGGGAGTGACCAAAGGCGGGTTGGAAAATTCCCTTGTCCCACTCTGCAAATCCAGCTACAGCATCATTTTAGCACAGGGGCTTGTGCTTTTTCTTTCCTTTCCCCCCGCCTTTTTTTTTTTTTAAGCCTTTTTGAGGGTTGAGGCTAGCAGAAACCTGTAGCTGCGCCTGAAGTTTCTGTTTCTAATAAACTCGGCAAATGCTTCCCGCCTGCGCAGCCTGTCTCTCTGCCATATTTAAATATTTATATCAACGTATCTATGGTGATGGATAAAGTTATATAATGAGAAGGAGGAGGGCATAGGGAGGGTGCTGGGGAGAAACAGCATCAGCTCCTCCTGAAGCGCTTGGCCCAGGTAGCAAGGCGGCCTGCAGAAGCAGAAGAGATTCAAGGACACCAGAGGTCCCTAGGAACCTCCAGGAATTCCCAAGGCGGTTTCCCAGCGCAGGGCGGGCTCTCCTCCCTCTCACCAGCTCCTGCTTTCTCAGCGGAAGG